TATAATAATTATAATTAATTAATTTTTAGTTTCTTCAAAATCCGCTTTTTGTACGGATGGATCTATGACCTCTAAAAGGATTTCAATAATAAGAAAACAAAATGATTTACACATTTACGAAATTATAATGAATTATGTTAGATAAAGGTAATTTGGTTAGTACTACTTAATTAACAATAAACTTAAGAGCTTGCAACGTAATATTATTATTAGACAATTATTTTTGAAAAGCTGAATAGATTTTGTCTGCTCAAGGGTATATTCGTGTGCTGATTTTGTCTCCTGGCAACATGATTCACTTTTCCGTTTTGACTTACAATTAACAAAAGTTGAAATTTTTTTTAACTTACAGAAAAAGAAAAAAATACTTTTTACTCCTTTTTGTAAAACATATAAAATGGCTGATTACAAAGTGGTAACTTCTGATTTCCTTAATGTGCAAATATCTACTTCTAAGGATGATTTTATTCACAATGAACGAAGATTTACTAAAGACATCACCGTTCGAGACTTAAAAGTACGTTTACGAATCGTACCATTATTTCTCTAACGTTACATTATTTTAAGGCAAAATTGGAACTAATGACCGGCGCCAGTTGCAACACAATGCAAATAGAAGCTTATGATAAAGATAACAAACTGGTGTGTAAATTAGCTGATGAAGATGCACTTTTGGGCTCATATCCAATTGATAATGGCATGCGTTTACATGTAGTAGATAGTTTTGTAATAAGAAATGAATTGGACTTTGGAAATGTTGAAAAATATGAAATTGATCCTGAGTTATATGCCAAAAGGCCAGATACTGTCAGGGCATTCCTTGTTAAGAACAAATTAGGTAAGTGTGTACTGCTTGAATCATAAAAAAAACATCAAACTATATGTATTACGTGTAGGACAATATAATGAAGAATACAGAAGGAAAAAGGAGAAACTAGAAGAGGAAGAAAAAAAATTAGTAGAATCAGTTATTTTGGGATCTCGTTGTAAAGTATCTGTTCCTAATGCCCCAACACGTCTAGGGACGGTCACATACAAAGGCACAATTGAAGGCATGAATGGCAACTGGATAGGTGTTAAGTATGACGAACCTTTAGGCAAAAATGATGGATCGTATGTATTATAATTTAATTTTTACGGGTCACATTAATTAAATATCTGATTTTTAACAGATATAAGGGCAAAAGGTATTTTGATTGCCCTCCTAATTACGGGGCTTTCGTTAAGCCTCAGCATATACTTTGTGGTGACTTTCCAGAAGAAAATTATGACTTACAAGAAGAAATATAATATAGAATCTCTGTCATGAAGGTAATTAATGCTATTATTTATTGTTATTCCGATTCTGTTGCAATTTTTAAATTGGAAGTGTTTATTAATTATATTAATATTATACCCTAAAAAACGCTAAATACAATATACAATTATACACAAATAGATTTGAGTTTTAATCAGTCAAAAAAAAAAAGAATAATTAAAAATTAATTATTATTTTCACTTTAAGATATGAACTCAAATCTA